AAAATTTTTGCAAATTTCCAGCATATGTAGGACATTATTGAGAGTGAGTTCTTTTCCAGATGTCATCTTCAGAATTATCTTTCCTTGTCCTTCAACTTTAGAAGTCAAGGAGTTGCCCATGAAAAGTTGTTTGTTGTTGTCCACCACAGAATGAGTTGTGAACATCTTTTTGTCAACACAGATGTGGCGAGTAGCACCAGTGTCCACCCACCATTCTTTAGGATTTTCGACAAGCTTTTCCTCGGAAACAATTGCAGAAAGATTTATGTCATATACACCATTGGAAATTTTGTCCACTTCAGTCATATTGGCTTGAGCAGGCTTCTTGCTTGATCTCCATTTGCCTTTGCGCTTGCTTCAACAATCTTTGGCCTGATGTTCCTCTTTGTCACTGATGTAACATTTGCCATTGAATTTGTACTTCTTAGTTTCCCTTCCTTTAAAGCCTTGTGCGGAACTTTCTCTGGAATACTTCCATTTTTTTTTTCTTTTGGTGCATGTTCCACCGCATTTGCCTTAGACTCCATTGGATGCTCACCAGCCCGCTACTCAGAATTGCAGCTATCCTCGTCAATCCTCAAATGCACAATCAATTCCTCTAAAGTCATTTTTTTGCGCTTGTGTTTGAGGTAGTTCTTGAATTCCTTCCAGCCTTCAGGTAATTTTTTGATTAAGGCAGTAACTTGGAAAGATTCACTGAAAGACATGCCTTTTACGTGAATGTCAAGTAGAATCAGTTGGAGATCTTGAACTTGGCTGATCATAGTCTTAGAATCAACCATTACAAAGTTCATAAATTTGCCAATTACAAATTTCTTTGAGCCAGCATCGTCTGTTTTGTACTTTTTATCCAAAGACTCCCAATGTTCCTTTTGTTGTTATAGCGACCCCGGTCCTTTCCCATTTGATTATTGTATCCGGACTTAGGTTCCGCTCATTCTGTCATTGTATAATTGTTGTTGTCATCCTTTATTTTCTCATTTGGAGTTATAGGATGTGTTGGGCAGGTTTGTTTCAGGTTGGTTGGGATCGTAAACCAAGTGTTGCTGTGCAGTTTTTGGATTGGTCGCTCGAGCCAGGGTTGTATTCTGTGTCGTCTGGCTCGATCCAGCTTTGCTTCGCTCGAGCGAGCGATTGCGTCTAGTATAGGCCTGAGGGCAGTGTTTCTTCGCTCGAGCTAGAATCCTGTCGCTCGAGCGAGCTTCTGGGTTGCAGACCTGTAGCATTGCATTTTTGGCTCGAGCGAGCTTTTCTTCGCTCGATCGAGGGTTTCGTGTGTCTGGTCGCTCGAGCGACCAAGTGTTCGCTCAAGCGAGCCTGTCGGGTTTATATACGCAGCAGCGGTTTTTAAAACATTTTTTCACGTTCTTTTGATCCAAAAACCCTAGTTCCGAGTTCTCTCTCCCTCTACCCACCTTCTCTCTTAGGTTTCATCACCTTATACGGTGTTTCTACCCTAGTTGCTTTATTAAAAAGATAGAGTGAGTCGAGAGCTTCGTTTTAATCTGAGAGTTTGTTGTTTTGGAGCACTTGGGCTTTGGGTCATCATCTTCGTCTTCTCCATTCGGGTTATTTTCTTCGAGGTAGGGATTTCCTACTCCATTTTATAAGTTTTGTTCTAAGTTTTGGTATATTGATATGTTTAGGTTACTTTGATAATTTTGGGAAAAACCCTAGTTGTATTAATTAATTAATTTGTATAATTAATCTAAGGGAATTGGGAATTTGGTTAAATTCATGAAATTGGGAAATTTACTGATTAAATGGTGTAGTTGGATAATGTAAATCACTCGCCTATTGAATTGCTGGTATATTTATTTCCAAATCTAGAAATAACTATGCATTTTTGTTTGGGAGGAGATAGGGGATGGACTCCATTAGCATCACTTTTATGTGTGCTTATTTATATTGAAGTGTTTTATTGATACAGCACTAAAATGTGTATCAAACTGGAAGTATGAAGTGTTTTGATTTGAGCCTGAGTCTCAATTGTTTGTTGACATTGGAAGAATGTGAATATGATATATATAGTTCACGGTTGTAAAGTTGTCCAGGTTCTGAGCCATATTGATAATGTTGGAAAGTAAAACGTGTTTTAGACATTAGTGTCATGAGACTGTATAATGAGGTAATTGATTATTGGTGCATGTTCCACCGCATTTGCCTTAGACTCCATTGGATGCTCACCAGCCCGCTACTCAGAATTGCAGCTATCCTCGTCAATCCTCAAATGCACAATCAATTCCTCTAAAGTCATTTTTTTGCGCTTGTGTTTGAGGTAGTTCTTGAATTCCTTCCAGCCTTGTGATAATTTTTTAATTAAGGCAGTAACTTGGAAAGATTCACTGAAAGACATGCCTTTTACGTGAATGTCAAGCAGAATCAGTTGGAGATCTTGAACTTGGCTGATCACAGTCTTAGAATCAACCATTACAAAGTTCAGAAATTTGCCAATTACAAATTTCTTTGAGCCAGCATTGTCTATTTTGTACTTTTTATCCAAAGACTCCCAATGTTCCTTTTGTTGTCTTGATAGGGCTATAGATGTTGTACAACGTGTTATCAAGTCCATTCAAGATGTAGTTCCGGCAAAGGAAATCAGCATGTTTCTAGGCATCAACTAAGGCAACCACTTGTCGATTGATTTCATCTTTTTTCAAAGTATGAGCATTCTCACGGAGAAAATGTGCCAGGTTGAGAGTAGTAAGATAGAACAATATTTTCTGCTGCCATATTTTAAAATCAGTTCCTAAGACCTTCTCTGACTTTTCACCGTAATTGACTGGCACAGTCACAACATGAGGAGGGGTTGCAGCAATTGCAGTCAACATACCAGTACTGGTTTGAACATTAGTTTGAGCGATTTCAGTAGCCATGAATTCTAAATTATGAAACAAATTTTTAATTAGAATTTTATACTGCACAGAAAATTAAACCATAAACACATAATTTTAATTCTGTAAAAATAAAAGAAACAAGAATTGTAATTTTTATTTTCAATTAATTTGAAAATAAAATTTTATTTAAACAAATTAATTCCACACAGAAAAATATTTCTATAACACTTCAAAAATTAAAATACTGAAAAAAAAATTAATTAATGAAAACTCAGAAATTATTTTTGAAAACAAAAATTAATTTATGACCAACTGCACAAATGAATATTCTGAAATTGTTAATGATAATCAGTATATTATTACTAGCTGTCAAAGAAAATAAATAGTATATTACTATTATTTGTCAAACAGTATATTACTACTATTTGTATTTTCCAACGAGAATATTACTTTGTATAAGCACATAAAATAATTTATGTAAGAAGAAGAAAGGAAGAAAAGGAAACAAATGAAAATTTTTGTATAAATAGAATAATTCGAATCTGTCTTAAGATTGTTGGAACAATCTTCTGTGTAAGAGAAAATTATGTGAGACAAATCAAACAAATAAAAATAAATTACTAATAGAATTTATTTACCGAAACGAATAAGTACAAAAATGATCAAGTCAAGTGTGTGACACTCTGTCCTTAAGACAGATTTGCCCCGCTTCAGTGCTTACGGATAAGTGGCGTCTATCTCCCAGGATACAATGATCTTACACAGATTGTTGTAGTACTCCAAACAGTCTGTACGGCGAACTAGAACCTGTGTTCTATACTCTTAGAAATTTCTCTAAAAAATCAGTGAATTTTCGGAATGAACAAATTGCTAGAAGAGGGTCTTCATTTATAGGTAGATTGGTGACTATTGGGAAAGGCTGAACAAGTACAATTTGAATTGAATGGATACAGATTCAAATCTGTAGAGCTGAACAGGTGCAGATTGAAGTGAACAGGTGCAGATTTCAAATCGAACAAATGTAGAATTCAAAGCTGTTTGAAATCTACTAGAAAATATAATCGGAGAAGGCACTATTTGGACAAAAATTTTGAATTCAAATTTAGCTCAAAATTTGAATTAATTTCATTGAAAAAAAATAATTTTCCCGCAAGAATTTTTGTCCAAAAAATTAATAATAGGATCGACCCGACCCAAAATCGGCCCGGTCGGTCGGACGACGGTGGCTCGTGCGGTGGTTTGAGCCAAAGCCCATTTTGTCCATAACTCCTCCCTTCCACAAACTTGGGGTGCCCCTTGGGACCCAACCTAAGTTTGTTCACCTAGAGCTTATACACACACACAAGCTTTCTTAAAGTTTCAATGTGGGACAACTATTTAAAGAAAACCCTCTTTTGACTCTTTAATTTCCCATTCCACGAACCTAAAAATGACGTCAACTTTCCATTCACTCATAAATTGTTTTGACGAATCGTTTGCACCTTGTGACTTGTCATCCGACAAGGAACACATTACCTCTTTGGACCCACCCCAAAAGACGTGTGGGTTCCACTCAAATTTGGGCTCAAAGTTCGCCGAAAATAAGCTTATAAAAACCATAATTTTCAACATTACATATATATATCTTCATAGCAAATAGCAAGTATAGCAAGATGAGAGTGGTAGCAACAATATTATACATTGTTGTTCCCGCAATTTGCAGCCTTGGAATCCAAGGTGATGTCCAGGCCTATTCCTCAATCTCCTTTAATGTGACAGGTGCCACCTGGGCCACATACAGAGACTTCATAGGGAAACTACAAGAAATTGTGTCATGAGGAACCCGTATAGTAAGGCTATGTTTGTTTGGACGGATTGGATTAGGTTGGATTAGAATTCCCATGACTAATAGTCCTAGGACTACGAATCCTTTGGATTGTGTATCCTATCCTATGTTTGAATTGAGTTAGGATTATAAAGGGGGATTTATAAAATATTATCCAATCCGATGTTTGTTTAAGGGGATTGGAATAGATAGGACATAGGACATCCAATATATTAGCCATAATACCTCTATTATGGTCATTTGATAAGTTAGTCCAGACTTTGACTTAATCCCCCAATTTATATCTCACCCCCTATATGGGATTGAATAGTCCATCATATGTGGGATATTATATCCGGATGGATTGTTGGTCTGTACTTTAATTTTTTAACCAAACATCGGATTAATAATTTTATTGGACTATTAGTCCAATCCCAAGCACATGTCCACCCAAACAAACATGGCCTAAATGGTTTACCAGTGTTGAACCCTGAAAGTGCAGTGCTGGTTGGGAACTGGTTCATTCTGGTCGGTCTCATCAATGGCGACACAATCACCTTGGAAATAGATGTGGCGAACCTTTATGTGGTGGCTTTTAGTGGTGCAAATAACAAATCCTACTTTTTCAACGACGTTATGGCACTTCAATACGAAAATTTATTTGTCGGCACCCAAAAAACCAACTTAACCTTCACCGGCAACTATATCAGCCTTCAGAAGCAGACATGGGTTAGGGAGAGGGACCAACTCCCTCTGAGACCAACTCCCCTAGCTGAGGCCATCACAAGGTTGTGGTACAGTGGAAGCGAAGCCGAACCGCTCCTTGTGGTCATTCAGATGGTCTCGGAAGCGGCAAGGTTTAAATACATTGAGGAGCAAGTCCGCAAAAGCATAACCGATGGAAACACTTTTACACCAAAAGGTTTGATCGTGAGCATGGAGAACAAATGGTCAGCTATGTCCAGGCAGATTCAGCTTTTGACAGATGGAGAACACTTCATTAACACCGTTCAACTTCAAGATGACAATTACAAGCCCCTCATAATGAACGAGTTTACTACACTCTGTCGCTATACCATGATAGCGATTCTTCTCCATATAGACAGTGAGACTACTACTAGTAGTTATAGCAATATTGCTCTAGCCGAGCACCTTGTCAACAATGAATTGTTAAAACTCTGAAACTGCTATAACTGCCTAAAACCCCATATCTCACCCTTAAATTATTCTACGTAACCTCTTTTATTCCCAATCTGGTTTGAGAGCGTAAAATAAACAGTTACCCTTTGCATTTTTGTTTTGGAATTTTTTTTTTTTATCAATGTGGGGTTAATGTGATCGATTGGCATATGGCTTTTTTTTTTAATTGATTTATTTATTTATTTTATGTTGTATCTATTTTAGTACATATTAGAGGTTGGGCACACGTGAAAAAAGGTATGAAAATAATATTGTGAGAAAGATATATGAAAAACATTAGAATTAAAGAGTAAGATTAACAATAACTTCAATCAAACCGAAAACATATACAAATGTTTTAGAAAGCAGTACAATTTTACCAAATATATACACATTAAAAAAATGATACACGATGAATCTATAGAAAATCTAATTTTGGTGGCATGAGACCGAGAATATAATTAAAATATATAAGATATAGACCAAATTAGTGTTATTTAAATTAGTATTATTTAATTTATTCTGCAAAGATTAAAATAAAAATTTACTTCATTCAAATGAGAAAAAGACTATAAAGAGACTAATTTAGTTTTTTTGTTTATGTAATTGATTGATTGTGTTATGTATGAAGACAATGAATGTAAATATCATAAAACTTTTTGTAAATGAAAATTAAAAATCAAGAACTTACATTTTTTTTTTTTTGATCAACAAAAACAAAAACTTTATTGATACAACAAATTATGTTCATATAAGACTTATATCAATAAAGAAGGAGGGAGTGCCACAAACAAATGCTAGCATCACCCTCAAGTTGGTAAGAAACCAACACGAACAAACAATAAAAAACCAGTCCACACTATAATCCACACTTGTGGCAACTCTGTTCCGTATTAATCTTCTAATTCATTAATTATATATGTATTTATATGCCTAATATGAATCTGGATGCTAATTATGTGTTCTATGTGATTTTTGGATATCTATTTGTTGATTGTAGAAAAATCTATTACAATCTCTGCTATAATTTGAAATTAGGGGCCGTACAGGCAACAAAAATCGAAATTGATTAATTTAGTGTGATTAGCGTAATTTTTAGAGCCCACTATGAAGTTTCATTAAAATTTGATTCAGACTAGATTAATTAGATTAAATCAATTAGAATTAAGTGGGATTAGTTAACCTTAAGCTTACTTATATAGTCTAAGTTAATTACAAGTATATATATGTGTTCAAATGTGATTAAATTCATTTTGGACTCAAAAATATATTGGGAAAGAGAGCTTTAGAGAGAGAAAACTTGATTTTAGAGGGAGAAAAGGCTTGAAAGCTTGGAATTGCTTGCAAGATTGAAGGATTGTGAAGAACAACTCAATTTTTTGCTAGAATTGGTGCAATTGAGGACTCTAGGTATGTAATTGAACATTAATTTGTGAATTGGAGTCTTCAATATGTGAGATTTCAAAGATTACATGATTAAATGAAAGAAAAGAGTTTAAGAAGAAGAATACAAAGTCAATTCTTGCATGCATGCATAATTTTGTTGTATTCTATCATTTTAAGTATGAGTTTTGTCATCTATGTTTAAATTAAGGATCATAACTTACATGCATTCATGAATTATGAAGTTTTGAAGATTAATTCCATGTTTTGAAAGTCTTGGAAGGAAATTGAAGTTGAATTAATGCATATATAGTGATCTCAATTTTGGCAATTCATAACACTTTTGAGCTCATGGTTTCAAGTTGAGCTCATACATATGTATTTCCAAGTAATTTCAAGAGTTTGGTTCAAACATGCAAGCATATACAATTTGGAGTGGAGTTTTGAGAAAAAGAGAGTTTGAAAATCTTGCATACATGAGGGTTTTGAGCTCAATTTTTCCAAATTGATAAGATTATAAAGCAAATGGTTTTTAAGGGGTCATATATATATATATATATATATGTTTTCTATAGTAATTTTGTACTTTTGAATGATCTAAACATGACCCAAGGGTTTGAATTTGTGTTTAGAAGTGAAACTTTCTGTTTTGAAACCCAGAAATTTCACAGATGGCTTGAGCGACCAAGTGGTGGATCGGGCCTACATTGCAAACTCCTATTATTTTTCACTCTGCAAAAGTGGGCTCGAGCAACCAAATGGTGGCTCGAGCGAACATGGATCTAGAGACCAAAAGATGGCTTTAGCCATCAGCTCATTTTCAGCATTTTTCAAAAGGCGTTTTGAGTTCATATCTTCGTTCCCATCTTTTTCCAGGCATTCTTAAGTGTGAATTATGACTTACTAAGGATTAATAAGCTAAGAAACAACGTAAGTAAATGATTAGGAAAGAGGGGAAAGATTCATTAGTTTGAACGTTGAGTTTCATCCTTTAGGCATGAACCTTGTAATCCATGGCTTTCAAAGAATTTCTAAGTATTCTTTGAAGTTGTGGATAAGCCATATTTTATTCCAAATTCCATTGTCATTCATTTTTGAACACTCTAACGCACGCATTGAGCATTCTAAATGAATGAAGAGGTGAGAAAGAAGCCTACAAGAATTAAGCAAGTTAAGAAGCGGATTGAATAGTATTGTGACCCGATTTCCGTATGTGTTATGAATTGTGTAGAGTCAACCGCGAGGACAAATCAATTAACCGAATACTATGAGTAATATCTTAGTAAAGATATTTTACTTATACTTTATTTTCTGATTGTCCTTATATGGTCAATTTTTTTCAAAATCAATGATTTGATAGATGTGAATGTGATACCCATCTACTGAATGACATGCTATATGTATGAAATGACTATCATAAATGAACCAAAGGTTATTCTGTATAATTGAATAGTGGACTCAAGGTCACTCTGTATAACTGAATCATGGAGTGAGATTGCTCAATATATCTGAATTGGGCCTAAGGCCGTTTGGTACATCAGATAACGTGGACCAAAAGGTCGTTCTGAATCTTTGATATGTTTGACTGGTTGATCTCTTATATGTCTGACTGATTGATATGACATAACTGAATTTCTGATAAGTCTGATTGACCGGTATGTAAAGAATTTCTAATAAGTTTAATTTACCAGTATACAATTGTAATGATCGAATGACCATTAATCTACTGTAAATGATTTGATCTCTATTAAGGAATGATTGAATTCAATCTGTATGTTTGTTAGCTGTTGAACCTAAAGTCGTTTTGTCAATTGTTAGGCTCAAGGCCGTTTTGTTGGAAATGAATGGGATTGTATCGTGTATCTGCTATCCATTGGACCTAAGGTCGTTATGTCACAAGTTACCCCGAGGTTGTTCCGTTACAAATGCTTGTTGTTATGTATATAAGCTTATCTGTTTTCAAAAAGGGGCTCATTCACTTAACCTCTTCATTTTGAAATTATTCAATGGGCGTTCACTCACTCTGTAATTATATATATGCAGGTGAGCAGCGGGATGTCTAGCCCTAGCCTTAGTGATCCTGTAAGAGATGTCAGCTTACGTGGAGTCAACCAAGGTCGCCTCATGCAAGAGGCTTTACTTTTGATTTTTCTTTTGTTTTATTTTGATGGTCATACAAGACCAAGTCTATATATAAACCTTGGTTTTTGGCTTGCCAGTTTTTGAATGGTCTTGGACATGTATAATCTTTTATGTTCTATTTGGTGTGAGTTATTATATACATGAGAAAAGCTTTTGTTATGCCATGTATGCACAGCTCATTAGACAAAATTTAAAGTTCTACTTCTGCATCTGGTCCCATATTATTAATTTTTAATTAACTTATGTCTGAGGCCGTAGGGAATCTCATGATTATTGGCCGATTATGATTCTAACCTATGGGGCGGGTTCGGGTTGTGACAACACTGGTGTAGAGCACCCCAGCCCCCATTCATGCCTTAATGTAATGCATATCTTACCTGTTTCAAATTAGCCACCATATCATGCACTGAGTGTTGAAACTCACTAGCAGGGATGGATCGGGGGAGGGGGGGCTGGCAGGGGCGACCGCCCCCTCAAAGTTTTGAAAAAACCCCCTAGATATAGTAATAAAATTACAAATATTTTAACATTATATAGGTTCGCCACCCCAAAGTTTTTGCACAAAATTTAAGAACTACCACCCCCTAAATTTTGTACTTTAAAATTTAAAAATTTATTTATTTTTTTGATAAATACTAATAATATAGCGATTATAATGGGTTTATTTTGAGGGCGTTACAAAAAATAATAATAATTATAATTTATTTTTTAAGTATGATTATTTTTTTATTTTAAATTTAGTAATGTTAAAATAATTGAGAATTTATTTGCTAATATGTTAAAGTCCTTTTTGTCTGATTGTGGCCCAAATTTTTTAGTCGTTTGCTTATAACTAAATTTTTTAAAAAAAATGATTACTCAAGAGTAGTAGGTGCTTACCTAGATCAGTCATCATATATTCAAAACAAAGAAGCTTCTCTTCTCTCTCTTATTTCATAACTAGTGAACCCAAATCATCAGAACCAGTGACCCAAAACACAATCTCTCTCTCTCTTGTGTCATGAGTCTTCCGACGTTCAAGATCATGATTTCTCCGACAGTACTCTGATACACTCTCTCTCTCTCTGTCTCTCTCTCTGTCTCAAAGAGTTAGGGTTTATTATTTGGGGAAAAAATATTGAACTATGAACTTGGTAATGTTGGTAATGGAACCATTTGTGTAATTCTCAATCAATTATTTATGCTTTTGTATTACATTTCTATTGTCAACTATCAAGCACAACTTTAGATGCCTAAGTAGATATATAGAGCAAATAATTGCTTTTTTGAAAATTAATATGGATTTACTAGAACATATCAAATTGTATTTTGATAATATTTTGTAATTATGTATGATGAATGGAAATATCTAATTATATATTTTTGTGATATTTGGGTATAAATTGATATTATATATCACATGCTCATTACAATTTTTTTGATTGCGTATATACTCGCCCCTCCGACATTAGAATCCTGCGTCCATCCCTACTCACTGG